AAAGATCACAGAACCCAGAGTCCAGGAGAAGGTGAGCTGACAGGGGGGAGGGAGAGGGGGCGAGGAATCACTAGCAGAGTGAGAAGTGACCGGAGCTCCACCACCCCATGCTGGACACACAGGGAGGGGGGGCGGCACAGGAGCCAAACTGAGGACTCATCTGCCATCAGTGGGGTAGGCCAATACTCATATGAGGGGCCCGGGCCCCTTACATACGTATCGGTCGTACAAGGGGCAGCAGGGTAGAGGGAAGAGGTGGAGGAAGCCAGGCCTTAGCAGCGCCGGGCCGGTGGCAGAGGAGACCGGGCCCTAGGTGGGCTCTGCGGGGTCTCAGGTGGGTCGTAAAACCAGTGTGTTTCTAAGCCCAGCGGGTTACTAACTCCCGAGTCCAGCGGGTTACTGAGCCCTGAGTCCAGCGGGTTTTGAGCCCCGAGCCAATTGGGTTACTGAGCCCTGAATTCATCGGGTTACTGAGCCCCGAGCCCATCGGGTTATTGAGCCCCGAGCCAATTGGGTTACTGAGCCCTGAATTCATCGGGTTACTGAGCCCCGAGCCCATCGGGTTATTGAGCCCCGAGCCAATTGGGTTACTGAGCCCTGAATTCATCAGGTTACCGAGTCCAGCGGGTTTTTTTGAATTTTTTTAATATGTGATTTTAACCACTTGCTGACCGTGGTGTTATCTCCTCCACTGGCCAGACCATTTTTCAGTATTCAGCGCTGCGGTACTTTGACTGACATTTATTCCGTCATGCAACGCTGTACTGAATTTAATTTTATACAATTTTTTGGGGACAGATAGAGCTTTTTTTTGGTGGTATTTAATCACCACTGGGTATTTATTTTTTACTATATAATGAAAAAAGGAACAAATTTTTTTAAAATAACCTGTTCCCTTATGAATTGTTATGAAACATTTTATTATCACCCCAATTTTTTGGTAAATATAAAAGACGGGGTCACGTCGGGTAAATAGACACCAAACATGTCAAGCCTTAAAATTGTGCGCGCCCACAAAATCGCAGAAATTGACCACACCCAAAAATCCCCATAGGCGACGCTCATCAGTTTAGTGTTATCAGTGATTAATGGCCCTAAAATTATTGCTCTCATTCCGACATTTGCAGTGTTATGTAACATGTGCGCGGCAGAATCGTTGTTTTTGCACTTAGGCGCACCCGACGCATGTTTGCGTGTGTATGTGGAGGGGCGGGGGGACTTTAAAAAATGTTTGTTATTTTAAATTTTTTTTATTTGTGACTTTTATATGCTTGATTTTTTTTTTACACTTAACTTTATTGCTATCACATGGGGGGCTAAGAACCCCCTATGTGATAGCCAATTCACATGACAGGTCCTCTTTATGGAGACATCAGCTTCTCACCGGCATCTAAAGCTGGAGAGTGACACTGAATGCGTAAGTGATGTAATATACATCACTTCCTGCATTCGGGGACGGAGAGGAGATGAAAGGGAGTTTGTTTACTGATCTCCCTTTGATCTCCAGTGACAATCGCTGTGCCGGCCCCAGCCGCACCGGCACAGCGGATCTCGGGGCTGGCGGCGACGGCCATTCCCACACACCCACCCACACCTAATACAAGCGATCGGGCGTCTCGAGAGACGACCAATCGCTTGAATGTAAACAGTAATCGCTGGCTGTTTAAATTTCTGACAGTTACCCCACTCGTGTGCGCTCTGGGCGCCACACACGATTCGGGGAGGGGAAGGACGTCTAAAGACGCCCTCTCACTCTTATAAGGCTCCCATCTGACCGTTCAGGAACGGCCAATGGACGGGAGGTGGTAAAAAATTTTTAATAACTTTATTGCTATCACATAGGGGCTAACAACCCCCTATGTAATAGCAATTAGGATGTGACAGGTCATCTTTGTGGAGATATCATAATGTCACCTAGGGATCCCAGTCATTTCCGTCCTTGCACTCCCTCTTCACTTCTCTGTATCTGCTGCCCCCCCCCCCCTTCCACTACTACCTCTACCTCTTTGCACACCTGTGCTTTGCACTCATTTCCACCTCTCTGCATCCCTCTCTTCACTTCCTTAGCTCTTCTAAACCTCTTTGCACTTCTTTGTAGCCCTCTGTTTTACTCAAAGCCACTGGTCCCTACCCCCTCCACTTATCTATTCTCCTTACTTTCTTTACCGGCAGGGAATTACTGCTTTTACTGTGTCGAAAGGAGAGTACAACAGGGCACTAGTTTACCCCTTTTCAATCCTCTATTTCCTCTCTTTGCCCCTATCTTTATTTCTATGCACCTTCTCCCCAGATCTTCGTAACCTCTTTCCTTTGAGTGAAGCGAGTATGCGGTATTAATTAGAGTGGACACCTACAGGATGAAAATCCTTTGAAATGAATTGAAAGCGCTAAAAATTAAGGAATATTTTAGTAGTAAAACATCCTATATGTCTAGAGTTTTTAAAATGTTGCATTCATAAGCACATACTGCAGTTAGTATTCCATAGCTGTGTTGAAAATTGCTGCAATGTCTCCCTCTAGTGGCTTTATACATAAATGCGCAAAGTACAGTGTATAGCAGTAGCTTGTCCGGAAAGGCATTGCATAAACAGGAATAGATATCAAGGTGCAATAATGTAATATGCTTCCTTTACATTTAGACACGTTTCTCTTCGATATCATACACATATTACCCATAAATGTTTTTATTTTCACGTATTTCTCTGCATGCCTGTATACTTGATATAATGCTTACCTGTTCTAAACCATCTCACTTATTACCTAACAGGAACAACTTTTAGTACTTAATGACCTTAAATAGAACAGCACCTATGTTTAAAGAAAAATTATAATATTTCAAACCACATGTGAAATTATATATCAGTATCTGTCGAGGAAGTGTTGAAAAATATAAAATAGTCTGCAAATGATAAAGCATGACGCGTTAATATAGAGCTAGATTGCTTTAAGTTAATATGTGTTGGGTATGGTGAATTTAAATAAAGCTCAAGCATATTGGCACTAAAAGTGATTTAATACCTCATTTAATTAAAATATCCCTTTAAAAACAGCAGAAACACCCTTAGGTACAGCAGGGCACTGCATATATCACTGCATGTATATATCTCTCACAATGACCATACAAATATTTAATGTATGTAAATATACATTGGAGGTGGAGGAGGCCAGGCCCCAGCAGCGCCAGTCCGGTGGTGAAGGAGGCCGGGGCCCAGCAGCATAAGCAGGTAAGTGGAGCTGCATGACCAGCCCAGAGCCCAGTGCGTCATCAAGCCCTGAGCCCAGTGCGTTACCAAGCCTTGAGCCCAGTGCGTCACCAAGCCCTGAGCCCAGTGCGTCACCAAGCCTTGAGCCCAGTGCGTCACCAATCCTTGAGCCCAGTGCGTCGCCAAGCCTTGAGCCCAGTGCGTCGCCAAGCCTTGAGCCCAGTGCGTCGATAAGCAGAGAATCAAGTGCGTCGCTAAGCCCAGAGTCCAGTGCGTCGCTAAGCCCAGAGTCCAGTGCGTCGCTAAGCCCAGAGTCCAGTGCGTCGCTAAGCCCAGAGTCCAGTGCGTCGCTAAGCCCAGAGTCCAGTGCGTCGCTAAGCCCAGAGTCCAGTGCGTCGCTAAGCCCAGAGTCCAGTGCGTCGCTAAGCCCAGAGTCCAGTGCGTAGCTAAGCCCAGAGTCCAGTGCGTCGCTAAGCCCAGAGTCCAGTGCGTTGCAAGAGTCCAATTCCTAATACTGTTCTGCATTGCTGTATAATGCATTGCTGAGGTTTGCATTAGAGTGTAAGATCCTCTGTAGAGAAACTAATGTGACTGGCTGATGGCTGCACTGTATGTATATCAAATGGAGATAGATATCAAGACAACATGTCACTCAACAAGATGCCCATATGTTCATATAGATATAATATATAGTCTAGCCCAGGGGTCAAAATTTCAAGTCCTGAGCTACTAGCCCGGCCTTAAGAGTTACTCGCCACCAGTTGCCCACCTAACCCCTAGCCTGCCCCGGCCTTCTCAGCCGAGCCGATGCATATGCGTTCAGCTCGGCTGACCCGCTCGGCCATGATCGGGAGCTGTACGGGCTATTGTGAATAGCCCGTACAGCAGGCTCTCGGTTCGAATTAACCGACACAGGTCATGCTGCAATGTAAGCAATGACAAGAAAACATACAGTATTTATATAATCCTCAGCAGAGCAAGGTGCACTCCATAGAATATCTCCCTGTGGTTTCACACAGCAGTTATAAACACAACTGAAATGGCTCCCCAAGTCGGCAGTCGGCAGAATAAAAAAAAAAGGGTGATGAATAGCTAGGCTGCTATTGGCCATTTAAAATTGCAATAGCCAATAGCAGGCTGGCTATTTCACCCACCCACTGCTGATGTCAATCAGCAGAGGTGGACCTGAAGTTATCCATCAGCAGAGGTGGACCTGAAGTGCAGCTCCCTGAAATGACTTTTTGCAGGTTGGGATGTCTGCATATAGGTTTTTATTCCTGTCTGTGTCTCCACTGGACATTGCCTCGCTTAGTGCTAATTCACACAGACATGTACATCCATATGGCATACATACCCATGTTGAGATCTGCTCCTGTGAAGGACAGGTGCTGCGCATATTTGCGTGTAGCTTCTTGTACATCCCTATGGGAGGACGTGGCTGCACACGGCTCCATGGCGACCCAAACCTGCACATCTCAGCAGGTACGGGTGCCTGGTTTTGGATGCAGGCAGTTTCTTTTGGAAGCCGCATTCACACGGGCATGCACATGTGAATTAACCCTTGCACTAATGACAAGGGGCTCACGAGTCGGTAAGTGAAGGAACATTTCTTCCATGGACAGAGCAATAAAAATAATTTACTCATCTACTAGAATGGGGAAATGTTAGAAACTATGTATGTTTTATCTTGCTGTCAGCTTTAAAAGTGAAGGAAAATTTCCCCACTGGAATTGATGTCCGCAACATAATCCTAAAAAAACTCTTCTAAACTTTTGCTGCTTCTGTTTTTATTTTCAGGTATTCGATTATGATTTTGGCCTGCAGGATGATTTTATGGGCTCCGCATTTCTTGATCTTGCAACTTTAGAACTGCAAAGGTAAGACTTCCGTGTATATTTATTTCCCTGATCATGTTTATCCACACAGTACTTAAATGCCAATGAAATCTAACACATAAAAGTAAATATAATTACACTCAGTGCTCCCAAAGTTGTGTCTCTTAAATGTGCTCCCTGTATATTTATGTACCCCCAAACCTTCCTCTCTTGATCATGTGTCAGTATTATTTTTTTCCTTTTTCTTGTTCCTGTAGTGACAAAACAGCTTTTAATACTCCCTGTGACATCATCACCAGGCTTGTAAAATTCTTGCAGCCGCTGGTAGCTCAGTTCCTATGGACGTAGCCACATCCCCAAGAACTACATCTTCCAAGAGCCCTTTCACTACATACACAGAATGTCAAGGCAACAGTATTGTTTTGTTGGGCAACATATGCATTTGGAGTGGGCAGAGAGGGGTGGGGGATAGGTGGAGTTCTGTAGTACAACAGGGAGAGCTGATAATGCTGCTTGGGAATTTAGTGCAGAAAGGCACTGTGTTGTTAGCTCAAATAGGAAGTTATGGTCACATCAGATTTCTGGCAGATAAACAGGCAGTTTTCTGCATTTGCTGCATTTTTTACAGGCATAAAACATGTGGAAAGTTGCATGTATTGGGAAATTTTATTGAATTTGTTTTAAATATTATTTACACTTATTAGAGAAGGAGTTGAAATCAGCAGGCCTGGATTCCCCACAAGGCCACCGATGCCCGGCCTCGGGGCGCAGAGGGGCAGCAGCGGTGTCCTTGTGGGTAAGTTGCCCTCTCTACATTCAGTCCTGCTTTGTACAAGCAGGACTAAATGTAGAGTGAGGCAGACGATTTTTCGTTTACATGTGAAATCGGCGATGTTGCCGATTTCACATATAAACAGTGTGCAGCCTTCTCCCCTCCCCCCTGCACTTACCTCTCTCCTTTGGTTCCGTCTTCCGCCGCTGAGTCTCTTCTCACTGCAGTGATCAGAGCGGCAGGGTTATAAGTAACTGTGCCGCTCCGTGCAGACTGTAGACAGTGAGAGGGGAGAGCTGTGCTCTTCCCCTCTCAGCTGTCACAGGAGTTCCAGCACAGTGCTGCGCTAGAACTCCTGTATTAGAGGTGACAGGGTCAATAAAGAGAACCTGTCACCTCCAATTGCTATTACACAGGGGATTGTTTTCTCCTGTGTGATAGCAATAAAGTTAGGTTAAAAAATTTAAATAAATAAAAATTAAAAACAAATAATATGAAATATACTGGCAATCAGACACACAAAGTGAGGGTTCCGTCTCTGGGGGAACAAATGTGGTTGGAGTTTTTTTTTCCTTTTTTTTGGGGGGGGGAACAATGTTTGTCATCCAAGGTGGTAAAATCAAGAAGCTTTAAAGAAGAACTCAAGGCAGGGTAAAACTTGACCTGGCAGTGGGGCTAACCCCACACTGCAAGGGTTAAGTGCTCATTTTCATCTAGGGTCTAAAATAGCAAAGATATACTCACCCTGTGACTGGATAGTGAAGGAGGAGCAACAGACTGATGAGGTCATCACATTTTTTCCCTCCTTGTCAGCACATGAGCTCCACAGCACAACTGATGCATATTTTAATTTCATTATTTATTATGGGCGGGACTAAAAAAATATAAACAAATATTGTTGGGTTAAGAAGAATCATTGGTTATAATTATTTTGCTTTCTTTTTTCAAGCTAGCATGGGTGCTAGGCTCCTTTTTACATTTTCTAGGCTCTTTGTTGTAAAGCCTAATATTTACAGAACTGAATAGCTCCAGCTGAAATTCTTTTTCACAGACATATCCACAAATGAGTGATTTATCTGCAGTTACTTATCCTTTGTTGTGTGATTTTAAATTTCAAAAAGAGAGGCAGGTAGCTTTTGTTGTGTTGTCTCTAGTTAACTCGTAGTTCTCTGGGAATCCTTTCTGCTCTGTGAACTATGTATTAAATATTTATTTGTAAAGGAAAAAATGTGTGTGTATAAAACAGAAACATGAACTAAAAAACAATTAAAGTATTTTAAAATTGCCCCCACATTTTTATAATTTCCTTTGAGGTGCATATGACAAAGTGTGTTGTAGAGCCAACATACTGTACACACTTGCATGCCTTTGTTAGCTGTAGTGTTGAGTGGCTGATGCTCCCCTTGGGGTAAAACTAATAATGATCAATGACAACTGAGATAGAGAGATATTTACATATGTATCTATCTTGTGTATGAACTCAACTGTAACTGCCAAAAAGGCATGGAAATAATAGTGCTGTGGAACTCCATAGTGCTCCAGGAACCATGCATTCAATATCTGTAAAACACTATTTGTATAAAACAGACAAATAAGAATTAAAACACATAAATGTAAAAAAAAAAGAGAACAATGAAAATAAAATTGACTCCAAACGATAAGGCCACTTCTCCTTTGAGGTGCATCTGTCTATATCTATTAGATATTTGTAAAACAAAACTTAGATAGATAGATAGATAGATAGATAGATAGATAGATAGATAGATAGATAGATAGATAGATTAAGCTACCTTCTTTGCTCCAAATATTAATACAGGTGTCAACTGAGAAACGAATGTACTTGGTTACAAAACTCAAGCTAAATATAAATTTGTATGTGCTTGGTAACAGCATAGAGCTCCTATCAATTATGAGATACAGGATGATATGTGTCAAGGTAAATAACATTAGTTTATTTTGCTGTTGCACAGCGCTGACATTCCGTGTTGGAAATAGGAATAAAATAGCATATTCCTGAGTGTAGAACAAGTCATTATAACATGGCATGTTGAATTTATGAACAAGACTGTATTTAGAAAATATATTTCATCATTAACCTACAACAATATTAATAATTACATCGGTATTACTGACAGCTGTAACATAATTAATTTGTCTTCCCTTTCCAGTGCAAAAGAAGTGGCATTAAACCTGAAGGATCCACAGCACCCTGATCATGTATTGGGAACCATATATTTTTCAGTCTTCCTGTCTCAGAAAGACAGCGTCAGCATGGAGTCGGTGAGTAGGTTAAAAGTATTATTAATCATTTAAAAACATTGCATTTTTTATTTGATATAGTTAAAATGAAGATGCATCTTCTGCTGATGAGATCTATGGATCACGGTAGATGTTAGGCAGTCTCTGGGAAACTATCTAAGAAAAAGTATTTTCATATATGGTGTAGCAATATACTTGTAACGTACAACTGGACATGAGCAGTTAAAGCCGAACTCCAGATATAAAATACACAGGGGGAATTCATAAAAACTGGAGCAGACAGAATCTGGAGTTGTTGGCCATAGCAACTAATCAGCTTCTCCGTTTCAGTTTCAAAGCAAAACAAACTGAAGGGAGAAGCTGATTGGTTGCCATAAGAAAACTCTCTTCTCCAGTTTTTATGAATTCCTCCCACAAAGTTCTGTATTAATTAAATGCAAGCAGCATGAATACCTGAAGCTGAGCTTGTATCAGCCTCCTGCAGTCCCCACACAGCAAGCCCCAGACTTGGAAAGAGAAAGGCAGCACAAGGAGCCAACCTCATGTGTTGACAAGAAACCTGCATATATAAGGGGAGAGATGAGAGATGAGCTCATCGGTGTACTACTGGCTGAAAAAATTAACCTGGGTGTCAGATATATGAAAAGGTTGCCTGTACTATAATATTGTTCTTTGATACTGAATACACATGTATAAAAGAAAACATTAATTACAGATTCCAATGTTTTAAAAGAGCTGGTTAATTAAAGCAAACTAGCTATAGACATGTAAAAACAATACAACCCACAACTTTGGTGACAATAGAAAGTGTCCCTGGCACAGACTGTGTAAAATTAAAGAGCAGCTCCAGGTAGAAGCTGAGCAACTAATTCTACAAAGTAAAGACAACACTGTGCTAATATCATACAGTCCACTTAGTTTATTGTTATCTAAGTTCTTTGGAATCCACAGAACCTTGATTTCAAAGCTCCTCTAATGCTGGCCTTAGACATATGGGTTTTACATGCAGTTACCATTCAATGCGCTTAAGGGGTCTATTCACAAAGCCGCCGAAGGATCTAGCTGTAGCTTTGGCTGATCCTTCGGCTAGCTTCGGTTGCAGGAGCCCTTCGTTTCAGTAGAACCGAAGGGGTGCTGTACGGGCTATTCACTATAGCCCGTACAGCTCCTGAAGGCGGCCGAGTGGCTCAGCCGAGCCGAAGGCATATGCTCTGCCCAGTTGTAATGACAGATCAGCGTCCCCAAATGACCTGAGGGCGCTGATCTGTCATTAAACAATAACAACTGGCCGGAGCCGGCCGTGGCATCACAGCCAGCTCCGCCCAGTTATTCATTGGCCGGGACCTGCTAGAAGACTCTAGCAGGTGTCGGCCAATAGGAAACAATTGGGCGGAGCTAACTGTCATTTATTGTTTTTTTTATATTTATTATTTATTTACATTTTTAATCATTTTTTTCAACTTTTTTTTCCCACACCATGTTTTTTTACGATTTTGCTATTCTGCTCGTTAACACGGAAGTACCGAGGAGAATATCGGAGCTGAACGCCGCTCAGGCGGCATTCGGTGATTCACTCACTGCCGTTTGGCTCCTAAGTGAATAAGGGCGAACGGCAGCGAGTGAGCTGCCGGAGCTTAAGCTCAGCCGATCCAGGTGTTGGATCGGCTGAGTCGAAGTCCTTCTGCACTTAGGCTCAGCCAAACATGCTGAGCATGTTCGGCTGACCGAAGTGCAGGCGAAGGCAGCTGATGTACGGCTGATTTCAGACAAACTACAGCTGAAATCAGCCATACTGAGCCGTAGTGAATAGCCGAGCGTTGTTCGGCTCACTTCACTACGGCTCGGTTATTCACTTGGCTGCCTTCGGCAGCTTTGTGAATAACCCCCTGAATGTTTGAAAAAACAAAGTACTGCGCTTGCAGCATTTTGAATGCAACCTTAATGCACCCGCGCTACAGCACACTGCAGTGCACCACTATGCATGATGTGGGTTGTGATGTACTGCAGGTGGGATTTTTGAGGTGTTTCAAAGTGAATTGGCTGTGTTAATGCAGTTCACATCAATGTGTCCTTACTGCAGCACATTATAGTGTGAATGGGCCCTAACTGGATGTGCCAGAGATTTTCTCTTGTAGCTTTGCTGAAGGTAAGAAAGGTGAGAAAATGTAGGAACAGAAACTATCAGTATCTATGCACAGCCCCTGGTGCTGTGCCGTGTGTTTAGCTAAACTTTTCTTGGCTATGTAGCAAAATGGTAAGGAGCAATTTCATGGAACAAACAAAAATGTGTTAGGGCCATAAGTTTTTCAGCATAAGCCTACTACACAGCATATTTAGATAGATAGATAGATAGATAGATAGATAGATAGATAGACTTTAAAATAATTCGTAACATTAAAACAACTCTGTTCCCACACAGTGGGGACCTATCATCCAACACATCATGAAGTGTTGGATGTTAAAAACTTGGCTACCATTGCTCTTTAAGGCCTCATTCACACGAGAAACGGCCGGCACGTACAGCTCCGTGCTGCGTGCCCGGCTGTATCGGGCAGCTCCCGGGAAGGACAGATGCTGCTTGTGATTAGTACGCAGCCTACGTTCGGGTGTCTGTACTCGTACGCTGACAGGATGGATGTTTGCGTCCGAGCTGGGACACCCGCACCCGTATGGACTTGCACTTGAGGCGATCGTAGGGCGGCGTACGGCCGCGTATTACCATAGAGAAGGACAGAGGCTGCGTACTAATCACACGCAGCACCTGTCCTTCCTGGGAGCTGCCTGATACAGCCGTGCACGCAACACAGAGCTTTACGTGCCGGACGTTTCTCGTGTGAATGAGGCCTAAGAAGACGAACAACTGAGATACAGGTGACAGGACAGGTAAGTATTTAGGGCCCATTCAGACCAATGCGTTACTGTAATTCAGTGAGGTGTGAGCACTAAGATGTCTCAGCTTCAGCACATGGTAACCCACAACTGGACATTGTGGTGCGCTGCATCCGGTTGGCAGTTATTCAAATGAATGCAATGCATGTTAACACATGAAGCATGCATTAATGCACTGTGAAGGACTGAATAGATCTGAATCGGTCCTTTTTTCTTTTTTTTTTTGTACAGGCAGCCCCCTTTTTTAGCCACCCAGTTATAGCTGAATCATAGTTGATTTATAACAAGACAAGGCTATGGGAAACATTAGCACTGAAACTGACCTTTCCATTTAACCAGTACTAAATTGACTTTTTTCTAACAAAGCATCTTTGAAAACAACACATCTTGCTTGTATCATGACACAGTAAACACATTGTGAGATTTGTATCTGACGCTCAGTTAACATTGTAACAAGCTCATGTAACAGATTAACATTTTCCACAGCCTTTATCTTTGCTCAAATCATCTGAGTCGGTAAGAATCAGACCACTGCCTCCATCCACTGTGCAAAGTGCTACAGTATATTGTACTAGATAGTGATGTTCTTAGTTGCAACCCACTGAAGCATAATAGCACTTGTTCTGTTGCCGTCATTGCATGATATTTCTTCCAGATTGCCATCCATTACTACTGCATGCACATATATCCACAACAGTTTATGGGTAACTTTTTTCTGCATTACTAAAAGTGTTTGCAGACATCTCTACCTCTTACCAGCATTAGTAGCATGGCGATGGGAATATGTTTTGGTCAATCTGTAGCTGGTAAGTTATGCATAGTTGCCTCTAGGGGCGTCCCTAGACATCTTGCTGTCTAAGGGGGGGGGGGGGGTGAGAGCTTGTGGCGCACATTCAAGAATGGGGAGGCAGATTATAAGATTATGGTGCACGGTGTCCCACCCAGCTCACTGACATTACTGGTTGCCAGAAGCTGGGTGGGGCACCATCCAGAGCCAGGATACTCTGGCCCCCCACGTGACCCAATGCTGTCTCAAGCTGCCTCTTTATAGGAACGGCCCTGGTTGCTTCCCTTACTTACCACCCATGATTTCACTAGCATAAGCTATATAGTAATTAGAAAATAGAAGATCTCATGTTTAGTTTACTAATTTGTATTGAGATTGTAATCTATCACGGGAGTGAGCTAGGAGTGGTGGCTACTATACAACACATACAGGGACCATGGGGAACAAAAGTAGCCCCCCTTCAGAAGGAAGGACAGTGTCAGCACCAATTCAGAGATGGTTTGAGGATCTACAGCTGAGTGATACACAAATAAGTTACAATTTTGTTAATAGTTAAGGTCCTTGAATGTATTTTTAAGATGTAACTCCTGAGTTTAGTGTCACTTTAAACAGTGAATCTGACATCCACCAAACATTTACTGCAGGTGAATTTTCCAGATTCATGTCTTTTAAGTGGTAGTGATTGATTCATTGCCAGTGAATGTTTGATGAAAGTCACATTTACTACTTTATAAATATGTCCCACAGTGTTTACATTCATGTGCCCCAGTGGTGTTTGCCAGTCTTTGATCATGGTGGAATATGCCTATGCACTGAGCAACAGCACAGCTGCTTATAGTCTCCACCTTAAGTGCATGTGACAGGGTGACAATATAGAAAAAGGATTTGGGAGACAGGGACAGAGCATTGTCACCCCAAAACAGGAAGCACCCAAACAAGGGCCTTTATGTCAGGATCACCAGGTGTTATTTTGATGAAAGCTGCAGATTTCAAAAGATTGAAACTGAGTATTGAAACAACACTAACATGTTAGAGATTATATGAGAATTGTGTGATTGGGTTTACATCTACGGTACTTTAATGATGTTACATTCAAAATAGTGCATCACATTGCAGAGCCATTATCACCAGGCTCGATGGCTCTGCAGTGCACTGCACTATTTTGAATGTAACATCATTAAAGTAGATGTAAACCCAATTGTCATATAATCTGTAACTTGTTAATGTCATGTCAATACTTTGTTTCAATCTTTTGAAATGTGTGATTTG